GGAATTTCAAATGAAGCCATTAGCTCGGTCTTGGTGAGAGTGGAAGCCAAACAACAAAAGCCAATCTATTACATCAGCAGTGTGCTGCATGGTGCAGAATTGAGGTATCCCATCGCTGAGAAAGCAGCATTAGCAGTTGTCACTTCGGCCAGGACGTTGAGGCCATATTTCCAGTCACACCCGATCATTGTCCTCATAGACTAACCTCTTTGATAGATTCTGCAAAAGCCAGAGTGCTCTGGAAGATTAATTAAATGGGCAGTAGAACTAGGAGAATTCGAGATAACATTTCAGTAGAGATCGATAATCCGAGCTCAGGCGTTGGCAGATTTTATTGTAGAATGCACTCCATGTCATGCAATCTCCAGTCCGGAGCCCAATGACTGGACCTTATATGTTGATGGGGCATCTAATAGCAAAGGTTCAGGAGCTGGCGCTCTCTTGCTTGGCCCAGATGGATACCGAAGTGAACACGCCTTGAAATTCAACTTCGATGCAACAAATAACATGGCTGAGTATGAAGCTCTCTTGCTTGGTCTACAATTAGCATTGGAGTTGAAAATTAGCGCAATCCAAGTGTACAATGACTCTCAGCTGGTGGTGAATCAAATCAACTCAATCTGTGAAGTCGTCGATCTTGTGATGGTGAAATATGTAACTCTAGTGGCCGAGCTGAAGTGCAAATTTCAGAAGTTCTGTCTGAGCAAAATTCCCCGAGTTGAGAATGAATAGGCATATTCACTTTTTAAATTTGCCTCGGATAGCTCTTTACGTTCTAGATCAGTTTTTGTGGAGGTCTTAGATGCACCAAGCTTCATGAAGCCACGGGTGATGGAGATCAGCACAGACTCAGACATGCCAAGCTGGACTGACTCAATTATCTCCTTTTTACGAGACGGGGTAATACTTGAGGATAAGCAGAAGGCAATGAAGTTGAGGAAGAAAGCATCTCGGTATACACTTGTTGTTGGGGTCCTCTATAAGAGATCTTTCTCACTCCCTCTTCTACGGTGCTTGAACCCATATGAAGCGGAATACGCATTCAAGGATGTGTATGAAAGTGTTTGCGGAAGTCACGTAGGTGCTCGAACTTTGGCTCATAAAGTCCTTAGATAGGGTTATTATTGGCCTAACATGTACAAGGATGCCACTCAGTTCGTACAGAGGTGTCCAAAATGTCAATTTTTCGCACATCTAATCCACCAGCCTGCAGAAGAACTCACTACTCTGATAGTACCTTGGCCATTTACTCAGTGGGGTCTTGACCTTTTAGGTCCATTTATGAAGGGGGTAGGAGGTGTAACCCATCTCATCGTCGGTGTGGATTATTTCACAAAATGGGTTGAAGCTCAGGCATTATCCAGTCTTACCTCCAGGAAAGTCGAGGACTTTGTTTTCAGCTCGATTATTTGTAGATATGAGATCCTGAATCAGATTATAGCTGATAATGGAACTCAAGTCAATTGCTCCTCATTCCGAGATTTTTGTTCCAGCTATGGGATCAAACTACAGTTCACCTCGGTTTACCATCTGGAGTCCAATGGCATGGTCGAATCTGTTAACAAATGCATTTTAGAAGGTATAAAACCGAGATTGGAACAGCACAAGGCCAAATGGGCAGACGAGCTCAACAACGTCCTCTAGGCATACAGAACCACGAGTCAAATAGCCACAGGTATTACTTTAAACCTGGTTTATTTGATTAACTTTATATTGTTTTTCTCTTTCTGTTACGGCTTTACCTTGGAGCAAATATACATAACACGTAAAGCGCATTCTAAAGTTATAATTAATTGAAATAGGTGAAACACCCTATCATCTGGCCTTCGGTACTGAAGCAGTCATTCCTATCGAGATAGAAGTCCCAAGCTTCAGGGTCACCCATTTTGATGAAGGACGAAATGGACAACTGCTTCGGGAGAACCTTGATCTGCTTGATGAAGTCGGAGAAGAAGCATGACTTCGAACTCTAGTCTACAAGCAAAAAGTAGCAAACTTCAACAACAAACGAGTTCGACCCCAAACATTCAAAGTAGGAGACCTTGTTCTCAGGAAAGCTGGTCTAACGGGGTTCGAAACTCGATTTGGAAAGTTAACACCAAACTGGGAAGGCCCCTACACTATCGGCGAAGTGCCCCACCCATGTGCTTATATCCTACAGGACTCTGAGGGCAAAAGGGTTCCTAGAGTCTGGAATGCCAATAACTTGAAGAAATTTTACCCTTAATACAGTTCTTTCTAGTGAACTTTGTCTTATTTCTATAATCGCCATTATTCTGATTACTGTATATCGAAACCCAATTCATTTACATCATTAATGAACTTCACTTCACATTCATAGTGATTCAGTCTTTTCATTGTGACTTATTTAGTCACTTCATTTGTTGGGTTATGATTTTATTACACTTACTTCTGCAGTGACTCACTTTATCTTTTGTCATTTCTATATTCGAAGTCCGCCTCATATATATCTGAGGTTAATTCCTTTGCTGTTCATTTTATTGTGTTCGAAGTCAGAACCTTGTCTTAAATAAAGTTACTTTATCCGAAGTCATTCACTTAAAATAAACTAGCAATTCAAAACCAAAGTTGAACACTAAGAATAAACTTCAAAAATTTTATAAATAAAACCTCAATTACAAAAATGTTATTTACAGATATAACTACAAATATAAAAACCTAAGCTACTCTGTTGGAGGAGGAGGCTGTTCCTCAGTAGGAAGAGGGGGTTGAGGCGGCTCATCTTCAGCAGGCAGGGGTGGCACTTCGGCTTCAGGAGGAGCCAGCTGCTGCACTTCGTTAGAAGAGACTGGATGCACCTCGGGAGGTTGCACTCCGGCCAGAGCTGCCTGATCCTCAACTTCAGCGCCTTGCGCTTCTTCTTCTTCCTCTCCTTCCTCCACTGCCACCAGCTCAGCATCAAAGGTTGGAGGAAAGATAGTGCGTCCCTCTGCGTCATGCTCCCACCTCAACTTGATCAGAGGTCGGAAGTCAGCAGAAAGACTCTCAGCATCCTCCTCCACTCTTTCTTCTTGTTCCCCAAAGGTGACCATTGTCACGTCCACCTTTGGGTACTGGGCCTTCACCTTCTTTCTATAGTCAGTGAAGGCCACGATTACGGTTGGTAGTCGGTACAGCTTGAGGATGTTCTCGAAGGTGCTGGAGTTGAGGAAGTTGCCAATGTGCTCCTCCATCTCGTTGTGAACCAACAGATTCACGTTCTTCTTCAGCTCCGTCGCTCCTTTCCTCATGTTGTCAATATATTTGTCTTGAGCTTCGAGCTTCTCCTCACAGATCTTCCTCTTGCGTTCTTCAAGGACAAGTTTCGTGCTCAAGACATCATTGTCGTTCTGGAGCTCGGTCACTGAAGGAAGAACTTCATCCAGTCTCCTCTGCATCTCCCTCTTCTCCTTCTCCCACTCCTCATTCTCCTTCTGCAGCTCTTCCCTCTCCTTCTGCAGCTACTCACACTGCCTCTGCAAGCTGGCACAATCCTTCACGCTCTCCGCGTACTCCTGCGCTAGAGCGTTTGTCCAGCTTGCACTCTGCAAGGCAAGCAGAAGTCAGACCTCAAA